TCTGGTGCTGTCCCCCACAGGGCCATAGGTCAATGAGGGGCGTCATGTCTCAAAGTGGGGCTGGCCATGTTGTCGACTGTAACTCTTTACAGGAGTAGAAAGCCCCATCTTTGTTCCTGCAGAATGTCCTTCCCCAAACTTATACAGTCCACCTTTTGTTTTCAGTCATTTAAACTGTAACCTGTCTAGCGGCATGTATCTCATCATAGTTTTAATTTACACTTCTTTAATGACTAATCCCAATTGTGCTACCTACTAGCTCTCTGATCGTGATCAAGTTACATCACCTCTCTGGGCTTCATATTCCTTATTTCAAGCGGGTGGGTAATACAAATTGTGCGTTAAAGAAGGGAAGCCATCTCCCTGGAGGTGGAGGAGAAGATGACCTGAAATTCAATAGGTACAACAAGCTGTGTGTTACAGTATGGGCCTGTGGCTGTTGACAGAGGGATACTTTTTCAAATTTGCACAGAGCATCCCATCTATTCACCAAGCAGTGCTAACTGTTCCTTGGAGCGCAGGTGGATGAGGAGGTGAATAGTAACCTTGAAACAGTATTAACTTGTTCAAAGATACTGGAGAGGCCAGTGGTGACTCTGTCCATGTCTGTCTGACAGGCTTGTTAAGAGATGTACGTGGAAGTGCCCTGAAAGCTCAGTGCTATACAATGTGATGTCCTGTTAAGTGATTGTGGTTTATTTTAGGGAAGACACAACGCGAATTGAATACTCCATCCCTTTAAGAGAAAACTGGGCATTACCATATTTTGCGTGTCAAGTTGCTGCACTTACAGGCTTTTTAAAAAGCAATTTGAATACATATGCAGAGGTAAGATTCAAATCTCAGTTAATTCAAATAGAGTTCAAATGTAGTACGCCATATTAAAAGTTATATTTCATGAAGCGTCAGTACTACATAGTCAAGGATATAAAGATTAACCCTGTTGTTCAGTAACTGGATAGATAGTGAGCTCCCCCCACCCCCGTTTTCTTCCTGAAATTCTCAATATGCTGGTGAACTTTGAAGAACAGTTGGTTGATTTCTCTCTGTCAGGGGTGTCTTATTTCAAATCATATTTTTATGTAAGGATTTAATAATTGTGATTTTAAAATGAAATTTTGAGAATTATGTAGCTTATGCCCTTGTAACAAAATAATGACTTTGAGGTAAAAACCCCATAGTTTTTGTTTTCTGTTAAACATAATTTCACTTTAATTTTTTCATTGCTTAAGGTTAGTGTTGGGTTGCCATATGCATGCCGAGTATACGTATCATTTTTGTTATTCATATATTTCTGTGTTTCGTGTTCAAATGATAAAGTCTTGGTTATGGTGAGTTAAGTAAAACATTAAGTAATAATGCTGCTATGAATCTAAATAGGTTAAATTCTTTTTTAGCAGTTTTATTAGCACTTCATCCACATGTCATACAATTCAGTAATTCAGCCATAGCAAGAAGAGTTGTACAGTCATCACAGTGTTCAATTCTAGAACAGCAAAAATATACACAACAGAACATTTTCCAATTCCACAACTTCTGTTTGTATAATTCAGTGTCATTGATTCGTGTTGTACAACCATTATTGATATCATTTGCTAAATAATTCTATCACCATTGACATAAACTCAGTACCCCTGTACAACAATTCTTTCTCTTTCACCTATGGTAACCAGTGGTCCAGTTTGGTTTCTTTTTTTTCTTTCTTCGTAGTTTTCTTGATATAGTATTCACATATCATAGGTTTCCATGGTTCAATCGCTTTTAAAATGAGTTGTATGTATATAATCACAATCAGTTCTTGTGCTCCCTCCCATATTCATTGTTTTCTCCCCAAGTCCCCTCACCCATCTTATCTCCTGTCCCTGCACCCCACCCCCACATCCCAATAAACCATTTCATCAGTTATCACTTTGTATCTACTCCTTCTGTGCTTCACAAACTGGGGAACCCAACAGATGATAAAAACAAAAACAAAATGACATAAAGATAAAAATATAAATAATTAGTAAGAGAGAAAAGACCACTATCGATATTTAAAAAGCCAGAAAGAAATTTGCCATGGAACAAGTAAGAAATTCTTGAGCCTAGAACAAGTTCAGGTTGGGTCAAGATAGAGGTCGTTTGACCATGTATCAAGATTGGTCCAGCATAATCAAGGTTACAGTGATCTCTGTTTGACAGTAAAGCTTTTTGAGTCCCTTGCCTATCGCCAGTGGGGTTGTGCCAGAGGCTTAATCTGACGAGGTACACTGCAGGTGGGTTTTGGGCTCCCCCTGCCCTCCATAGCCTTCTGCAAATTGGGTGGCACAATTTAAGCTCTGATATTTTTCCCTTCGTCATATTTAGATTTTATTATTGTCATCTTTGGATCACACAAGCTCTTGTGCTTCTTCTATGTGGATTTAGTTGACTCCTCACTTAGATGGCTGTTTGTTTGAGTACAAGCCTTTAAGACCCCAGATACTATGCCAGTTGATAGCTGGGCACCATCTGCTTTCTTCACCACAGTTTGCTGTACCTCCCTTATCTTCAGTGATCCTTTAATGAAGGTGAGTATCGAGCAGGGCCATCCTATCAGAAGTATCTGTTCTTGGATTGGGGCTAGAGTTCAGTAGGGGCCCAGAAGCCATCTGCTTGTTCACAGGTTATGTACAACTCTGGTTTACTTTGGTGGTTGGTTATATTATGACAAAAACACAACCCCTTAAGACCATTACCATCACTAACAGTAACAAACCAGCAAACCAAAGGCAGAAAAAAGAAAAGCGAAAAATAAAAACCATGGTCAGTCATCCCCCTGGGGTATAAGGCAATTGCATTGATAACATCAGCAATTTTTCCAATGACAGAACTCCAGACCGTTGGTGTGAGGAGTCTATGTAAGTACAGTTCCACCCATGAGTCGTTGCCCTGCACAACTTGATTTCCCCATCGATTGAACTCTGTTTACTCTGAGCATGGAGACTGGTGCCTGGGGAACCCCATTGCTTTTTATAATAATAATGCTACTGATACTTAGTTTCTTTTGTTTTCCTTAGAGGTTTTGCTACTTATTGATGAGTGCTTCCACGTACACTTTTCTGATGATGTGGGAGTACAGCCACTACCTCCTGTTTCTCCAAGCAATATCTCTATTCCTGCTAGATAGCTTTTCGTTGGAGCAAAGTGACAAGGTATATATATGCCATTTTGAAATTGATTTTAAATCTAAGGAATAAATGTTGTAAGAGCATGTATTTTAAAACCATTTATCTTTTAAGGGTTATTTGAAAAGATTTATGCTTATACTCAAAGATTCTAAGCTCATTCTCCCTCAGCCCTTTGGATGCACTTTGAAAGATCCTGGTGATGGTTAGGTACCAACGAGTTGGGTCCAACTCACAGTGACCCTTTGTTATGCGTGAGTCCATTCTTGTAACCACTGTGTCAATCTATTTTGTCAAAGGCCTTCCTCTTTTTTGCTGCCCCTTTACCAAACGTGGTGACAACAACCAAACCCACTGCCATCTACCTCAAAAGTAACCCTGCTCCCCAGGGTTTCCGAGACTGTGAATCACTTTGGGAGCAGTCAGCCTCTCTTTCGCCCAGGGAATGACGGGTGGATTCCAACGGCTGACCTGTGGTTAGCAGCCCAATGACTAATCCACTACACCAGGCTCCTTACTCCTTCCACATAGCCTCTGAAATCATCCCAGGGCGGCCATGCATTTTCTGGCTGTATCTCCTCCATCTTTATGTTTTTGTTCTTTAAAGTAAAATTTAGAACATGTGCAAAAAGGAGTATAGATGGTTTATAGAATAAAATTACGAATTCTTGACTACCCAGATGCAGAAATGGAGCCCCATTCTTGCTCCCTCCTCGACAGAAGCTGACTATCCTGAATTTTGTTAATACTTTCATTTGTTTCCCTTAAATTAATTTTGCTACTCTATAATCTTAAAAATATATGAAGAGCTTTCAGAAAGTTCACGGGAATTTGGAATTAAAAAATAATGGAATTTTTCTACAACTTTTTGAATCTTTTCATGACTTGTGAACAATATATTATTTACCTTTTACTCATTTGCTTTTGAGATCCATCCATGGTGATGTAAAAACTATATTTCATTAATTTTTTAATATATACATTGTGCTATTGAAAGGCATCCCCACCCACCAACCCCCAGTGTTTATCTGACCAATGCTGCTATTAACATGATTGTATGTTTCCCCTGGCAGGTACATACACTGTTCCTTAGAGCATGAGAAGGCTTCATGGAGCATGAGATAGTTCATGGAAAAAGTTCCATTATTGCACTTTTCTACAAACCTTTTCAACTCTCTTATATAGACCTAGTGATGAAGCCAAAGATTATGTTACACGTTCAACCTAATTAAATAATGTCAAGTCTTCTTCCAGAATAGTTATGGTAATTTATCCTCCCACCCACAGTAGATAAAGGTTTCCTTTTCTTATTGTCCTTTCTTTTATTTACCAAACATTTATTAAATACTAGTTAAATCTTACTCTTCTATTCTTTTTCTAATTTCACATACCCACATATTCAGAATCTTGAATGAGCTCCAACCTTTATTTGAACAGAGAATTTAATTTAACGTAACGAATTATTAATCAGGCACTAAGCTACTGACTTATTAATTGAAAGGATAAAACTATCAGTGGTAGCACCTCTAGACAGCAGGTTGCTACCTTAGGGCTAAAGGAATAAAGGGAAGACTTTGGAATTATTCAAATATAGACATTTGGAGGAAGGGAACCCTATGGAGACCAAACTTGAACTTTGAGACAGACACTTTTCAACTTTGCTGTTTTTTCTGATCTTGAAAGAAAGAGCCCTCTGGAACTGGGAATGGGACTCTGGTTGGCTGGTCTTAGGGTCTCTGGGTTCTTCAACTGTTTGTAAAACTGCAGCTGCATTCTGAGCTGCTTCAGCAGGAAGGAATTGGTCTGTTGAAGAGACGTGATAATGGGAGCACCAATCAGACAGGAAGCAATAGGAAGCAAATTCCTTCCTCCTCTTCTACTTTTGCAGTCTCCCTCTAGCATTTCATATTGGCAGAGCTTAGTAAGGAGCCAGGTAGAGAAGCAAAATGTAGTTCAGAGTACTATCCCCATCATTACAAGACTGGATAGAGGGAGTAGTCAATGGACATGTGTACAACTAGTACCCAAATCAAGAAATAGAACATTACCAGAGCCGGTAGAACTTAGGGTGTCCTGGCCAGCTATTACTTTAGGCCAGCAAAAGGAGCAAGTATCCTAACTTCTAAGAGTGAAGTATCTTTCTTTTTAAAAATAATTCTAATCTAGCTTCTTACAGATTTTTTCTTTATTAACGCTGTCCTTTGACTTTCATTGTATCAAGGTCTATCTATTGTGGCCCTCGTCAGCTGTGGTAGCTTGCTTACCATCTTGTTCTTTATCTCAGGTTAGATTCATGTGATCTCAGGCTTTTCTTCTCTTAAGTCTTTGGTTGGTTTTTTTTTACTCCCCTTTTAGCCAAGTAGAGACCAATAGTTATATTCAGTAAGTCCAGTATGATTTAGAGCCTTATCTTTAAAAAAAAATACTTGTTATTATGAATTAAGTGAAGGTTTACAGAACACATCATCATTTTAAAAATATTTAACAACTTATGAACTCTCCCTATGGCTTTCCCTGTTTTCCATCTTTTTTTTTTTTGCCCATCTCCCGCTTGTGGGATATTGCCTTTCTTTCTCTTAATTTAAACCTGTCTAGTCAATAGCCTATGGCTTCCTCTCTTCTCCCCACCCACCCACCCCTACTAGCCATCAAAGTCTCTTTCTTTCAGTGTGAAAACCTTTTTTTGTTTTTTGTTTATAGTGGTCTCATACAATATTTGTCCTTTGTGAGCCAGAGCATGATACCATCCTGAATTATAGTAGAGCATTTACTTACATTATAATCTTTTCTAAATAAAAATAATGCAAAAGTGCATAGTGCATTTTGGTTTATTCTTACTTATTTTGGTTTTCCCCCAACAGGTGTATGAAGTTTATAAAACCTATTTATTTTCTGTGTTTGTGGGATATTTGCTGCAGTTTGAGAATCCAGCTTTGTTGGTGTCTCCTTTATTGAGTTTAGTAGCAGCCTTAATGCTTACTAAGTGCCTTCAGGTAATCGGAATTACCTTATAACAATATAATTCTTGTGATTAATTTTTAAATTGTTGTTTTCATACCTCCTTTCTTTGTTCACATGTGAATTTTCCCTCCCACAGCTAAATGTGAAGAAAGGAACTTTTGTAGCTAAAATGATGAAAGTGATTAATTTTTATTTGATTTGTACTGTGACAATTACATTCAATATCATAATGAAGGTAAGTAACCATCTGAGTTTCATAGTATGAAGTAAATTGAATAATAAAACTATACTGGACTAGATTTTAGTGACAAGGTGCTTGCAGGATAATAGGGCTTATGCAGTGCAATTTTGAATTAAGCAAATCATATATAGCATATTGGGTGAAAAATTGGAATTTTGATTTTTAATTTTTTAGAAAGCAAGTATACTTAACTTTTTCATGTAATTTAAAATGTCACCAGTACCCATTTAGCATTAAGCAATATTTGGAATAATTGAGGTAAATAAATGGTGTTTATAAGAGTTGGTAAGGTACTTAAGGTGAAATAAAATTCTTTAAAAAAATTCTTTAAAAATATTATTATTAAGTAAGAAATATTAAGAAAATATTTTTTTCGTACCACCTGAGAGAACGGCATATCTGCTCTCCTCTGGCCACACAAAGGAGAATCCAGCTCCTTATCCAAGGCCTGTTGCCGCAAGGCAGAGGCCAGATATGCCTCCTTCATCAATCTCTCTCTATTCTGATGCCAACATTCTTCCAAAACATTCAGCCTTTCCACTGTGTTCAGTCATTTGTCTTAATGGCCACACAGAACTCACAAATGATACTCCTAATTATGGAGATTTCTGAGGGAAGTTAACAAGTTACTACACACTAGAATTAGAAAATGTAAGGAAGCTGACATTGGCCCACAGCAACACCTCTCCTAGCGGGCAGCCAAGTCTCTCTCCAGGCCTCAGCTTCTCAGCCAGGTGGTCCCTTGGCTGGTGCCTTCATGGCCCAGGAAGCCTGCCAGTTGCTGTGTCTCAGTCTCTGTGTCCCTTCTCTGTTTTCTCTCAGTGATCTCCTCACCTCTCACCCTTTCTCTCCCTTTCCCTCTCCCTCTTGCCTGGCTCTTTTGCTCTGTTCTGTGGTCTCTATGATGCAACCCCTGGCCGGTTCCTCTGGTCACAGCCTCTGTCACTTCAGACGGAGATCTTGAATGTGCTTCTACTGGGGGCTTTTCTCCCTTGATGGTCTTGGGATTTCTCTTTCCTCCTGCAAAGACAGCTCATCCTCATAGCCAGGGGAGTGGCTACTTAAAACTGACCAGTGCCCTCTACTAGTGTTTCACACAGTATTTGCTTGCTCCCACCCAATCATTTGATGGGAGCTAGGCATAGATAGAAGAACCTTTTAAGAAATTTTACTTCATCATACAACCCCCTTATAGTTTTATACTTAAGTAAAAACTAATGTGATTGGCTTATACAGATCAGTTCTGTTGCTTCATAGTCACACAGGTATTTAATTCTTGTTTTGAGTATGTCTGTTTCATAATCTTGCTGTGTTTTCTATATCTAGGTCTAGATTAAAGTCTTATTGCTATAAATAGAACTAATAGTTACTTGTTTAACTTTTTTTTTTCTTCAGATGTTTGTCCCACACAAAGAAAATGGACACATGCTGAAATTCCTTGAAGCAAAATTTGGGCTAAATATGACTAAGTAAGTTTAATTTTATGTAGTTAACTATACTACTAATAATGAAAGGAATAAATGCAGGGAGCTTATGACTTCTTTTCCCCAACAGTTGTATTGGAATATAATTTGCATATCATACCATTCAATAGTTCAATTACATCAAGCAGAGTTGCACATCATCACCACAATCAGTTTTAGAACATTGTCTTCAGTGTTGTGCTCATTACTACTAGCTCTCTGTTTCCCCCCGCTATACCCCAAGGAGCCACTAATCTAGTCACTATCTCTATAGATTTACCTGTCCTGGATTTTATATACAGGAAAACATTTAACAAACAAAACTAACAAGAATAATAAAACATTAAAAACCTTAATCAAAAAGAAAGCAGAAAATATGAACTAGGACATATTTTAAGGGGATCATAAGGAAGATCAGATGATAGGGTGCTAACTTTTAACCGAACTGCATCTGCAACAATCCACTTTCAATGCATTTTGCATTTTCATAAGTAACTTTATTGTTGACGGATACCCTTGAGTTGATGTTCAACCCACCCCAGCCCATGTGACAGAGTAGAGCTGTCCCACTGAGTTTTCTAGGCTGTAATGTTTATGGAATCAGATCGCCAGGCTTCTTTTTTTTCCCCTTTTCATCTTTCTTACTCACTGCACGCCCCTCCGTGTGCAAGTTTCTTTTTTTTTAAATCGTTTTATTAGGGGCTCATACAACTCTTAT